CAGTCCACGGATGAAAGGTATTTTGTTGTTTGTCGCTGGCTTTAGACCCTGTATATTTGCAAAGAAGAATGTTATCGGACTGGTGGTATTGTTGGTACTGGGGGGGGGGATTTTTTTTCCGGCATTAGTATCTGTATCTGTTGGTTTGGAGTGGAGGCCATCGACTGTGGTTCCACTCCAGGAATGACTGGATTTGGTGTACGATTTCTGCCATTTCCTGCCAGTTTTTTTTCCTTCCTGGCATTTTACTTCCCATTTCCAGGATTCAAGTCGAGCTATATAAAAATAAGTGGTTTTCCTGAATCCCTTCACTATATATTACCCTGCTCACACTCCAACAGCTGATCAGGTCACAAAAACCATTCGTCTCAGTTCACTCCTATCTAACATGCTCATGCACGCTTGCTGGAAGTCCAAGCCCCTTGTCCACAAAACCTCCTTTACCCCCTCCATCCAACTTTTTTGAGGACGACCCTTACCCCACCTTCCTTCCCCTACCCCACCTTCCTTTCCTACAGATTTATACGCTCTCCATGTCATTCTACTTTGATCCATTCTCTCAAAATGACCAAACCACCTCAACAACTCCTCTTCAGCCCTCTTGACTAATACTTTTATTAACTCCACACCTTCTCCTAATTTCCACACTTCGAATTCTCTGCATAATATTCACACCACACATTGCCCTTAGACAGGACGTCTCAACCGCCTCCTCGCTGCAGCATTTATATATATATTTATATATATATATCCTAGGTAGTAGGTTGGTAGACAGCAACCGCCCAGGGAGGTACTACTGTCCTGCCAAGTGAGTGTAAAACAGAAGTCTGTAATTGTTCTACACAATGGTAGGATTGCTGGTGTCTTTTTTTTCTGTCTCATACACATGCAAGATTTCAGGTACGTCTTGCTACTTCTACTTACACTTAGGTCACACTTCACATACATGTACAAGTATGTATACACACACCCCTCTGGGTTTTCTTTCTAGTTCTTGTCCTTGTTTATTTCCTCTTACCTCCACGGGGAAGTGGAACAGAATTCTTCCTCTGTAAGCCATGTGTGTTGTAAGAGGTGATTAAAATGCCGGGAGCAAGGGGCTAGTAACCCCTTCTCCTGTATATATTACTAAATTTGAAAAGAGAAACTTCCATTTTTCCTTTTGGACCACCCCGCCTCGGTGGGATACGGCCAGTGTGTTGAAAGAAAGAAGAATATATATACAGTGGTCCCTCGTTTTTCGTAATTAATCCGTTCCTGGAGGTGCTACTATTATCGAAATTACGATTTACGAATCAATTTTCCCCATAAGAAATAATGTAAGTACAATTAATCCGTTCCTGACACCCAGAAGTATCAATAACAATTTTTTTTTACCTTAAAGATAGATTTACATGTACAAAACAATTAACATTCAACATGACAGTTACCTTTATTGAAGGCTGTTGTTGATGAATGGAAGACAGGGAGGAAGAGAGAGGGAAGAGAGGTTATTATTTGGAAGGGGAATCCCCCTCCATAAGGAGGATAGGTTGGATAAATACATGAGTGAGAGAGGTTGGATTTGAGTGGGACTTGCATATCAGAGCTTATTTCTTGGGTAGCATTGAAAATTGGGTTGGGCAAATGTTTTGTTAGTAGGATGAATTGTAAAGGACCTGCCTAGTATGGGCCAACAGGCCTGCTGCAGTGTTCCTCCTTTCTTATGTTCTTATGACTCTAGGTCACTTCAATGGTCACTTACCTAGCTTAAATATAGATTTACATGCAGAAAAGAATGCCAAATAAATGTAAAGCACTAATAAAATGTATAAATGAACATTGGGAATAGGGGTAGTTGATAGAGTGGAACGGTCCATAATGGTGGTGAAGCAGCAGCTGAGGCGGCGTGTTTTCTGTAGCTCTATATAACTCCAACAACATTGGAGGAGTTGGTTGAATTGCTGAATCACTAAAGAAGACACCCTCTACCACCACTACCACTTTCTAACACTATTACAATGCTACCACCTTAAGAACATAAGAACGGAGGATCACTGCAGCAGGCCAGTTGGCCCATACTAGGCAGGTCCTTTACAATCCATCCCACTAACAAAACATTTGCCCAACCCAATTTTCAATGCTACCCAAGAAATAAGCTTTGATAACTATCCACTCATTTGCAAGTCCCACTCAAATCCAACCCCTCTCACTCATATATTTATCCAACCTAAATTTGAAACTACCCAAAGTCCTAGCCTCAATAACATAAGAACCAGTATTACAACTACTGTTACAACTATTACCACTATTACAACTGCTACAACCATCACTACCACCATCACTACTACCCTCTACCACCATCAACCACTATCACAACTGCTTCCACTCTACCACCACCACCTTCATATTTTTCTACAAACTTTTTCTTAAATTATATGTGTTTCTCACATTCTTTACCACAGGGCTGGCACTAGAAGCTTTCTTTGGAGCTATGGTGACTTATTTAGCGGTTGCAAGCACTAAAACGAATGGAATATTATGAAATGTAACGTATGAACTCGTGGGATCATCCTCACTCACTGATAAACAATGGCACACTGGCTGGGAAAGGAGTGTGAGGGGGCTCGGGGCTGTGTGTACCTGTCCCGGACGAACTACTATTTGCGAGTCAATCTATGATTAGCGAGCCCATGTTTATACGAAAATATCCCTATGATTTCTGAAATCTACGATTCTCGAGAACTACGATTATTGAGGGACCACTGTATATATAGTACGTACACAGGTATACATATTTTTGGCATTATATTGCCTGTGTAATGTAAACATTTACAGTTGTCCCTCAATAATTGTCCGGCTCGATAGTCGTCCTTTTCGGAAATCGTTGCATTCTTCTCGTCCAAACATTGGCTCGCAAATGGTTGGTTTACTCACTAATCGTCCTTCATCCGGGATGCGTACTCACGCTCTGAGCTGCCTTGGCCTCTCTTCCCAGCCAGTGCACCATTGTTCACCAGTGAGAGACGGTCCCCTCACTTGTTCATACGAAATATTTCATAATATTCCATTCGTTTTAGTGCTTACAAGTGCTAAATAAGCTACCATGGCTCCAAAGAAAGCTCCTAGTGCCAAGCCTTTGGTAAAGAAAGTGAGAAATACAATTGAATTTAAGAAAAACATCATTGAACAATTTGAAAGTGGCGTACGTGTGGCCGAACTGGCCAGCTGAGAAGCTGAAAGAGCTTCAGCAGGAACAGGAATAGATCGCAGCTCAGAATCTTGCTACAGAGGAGGAGGAAGAGAGATGGAAGAAGGTGCCTTCTTCAGAAATTAAGGAGATTTTTGAAATGTGGGGCAGGATGGAAAGATTTATGGAGAAACATCACCCTGAGAAGGATGTTGCAAGCCATATTGGCAACTTGTACAGTGACAGAGTCTTGGCCCATTATAGGGAAGTTTTAAAGAGACGCCAGAAACAGAGCTCTCTGGACACTTTTTTTGTGAGACAGGACTCCAGTGACTCTCAAGTTGGTCGTAGTGGCATTAAGAAACAGAGAAGAGAAGTAACCCCAGAAAAACACTTGGTACCTGAGGTGTTGATGGAAGGGGATTCCCCTTCCAAACAGTAACTAATCCAATCTCTCTCCTCCTCCAGTCTTCCATACACTAAGAAGAATTGCCAATAAAGGTAAGTGTTATACTGTTAATGTTTCATTCATCATGTCCCATTGTATTGTTTATGTACTACATCTATATTTCATGTAAAAAAAATTTTGTTTTAATACTTCTAGGTGTCAGGAACGGATTAATTGTATTTACATTATTTCTTATGGGGAAAATTGATTTGAGAATCGTCTTTTTCGATAATCGTCGCACTTCCAGGAACGGATTAACGATGATAAATGAGGGACCACTGTATTTCATAATACTGATGTATAATAAATAAATATAAAACTTTAACAGGCCATGTTAATGTTTGCTGAATTGTTACATAAATGTAAACACCTTATAATAAGAGGTCCTTGGAAAACACTCATTTGTGTAAGCTAAATTCTCATACTTTGTATAATGGACCTCATGCAAAACTAATATTGGACTATGTAAAAATCAATTTCCTCACTTAACAACGGAGTTTTGTTCCTAAGACCACGTCAATAAATGAATTCGTCACTAAGCAAGGAGCATACTATACTGTCCATCTTTCAAATTACAGAAAACTAAAAATCCTTTAACATTTACATTTTGAGAGCACAGTATCTCTCTCTGCTATATACCAAAGATTTTTTTCACATAAACTTCACTTTCTTTTCATTAGTTAGAGCCTCTTATTTGACTTGCTTTTGTACAGTAATCTATAGTTTTACTTTTATTGTGATTTGAATTGCAGCTTTCCATTTAACTCACTTGAGATCTACAAAGGGATTTTCTTTCATGCTAGACATATGTCACAACTTTCCCTGTATATATTTTGTATTTCTTAGCGCAAAGATCAGTATTTAATAAAATATGTATGTAATTTATTTTATGGTTTATGTTTAATGTATCATACATATCAGTACAGTTGTCTTTGATAATGAATATACATAGTGTACATTGCTTCTCTTTTCTTTGTGTGATAATTGGATGCTCCTGACATTACTCAAGAGTTTACTGTCAGAGTTCTCTGGGTCATAACTCCTGTTGCAGAGTAACACTTATTCATAGTCATTTAGAATTAGGTATTATCAATTAGGATATTCTAATATGTAATGAGAAAGAAGGTGTTTCCAAAAATTTTTTACTTATACTTGCAAAGAATCTTGAATACTTTCATTTACTTTTTGTCAAGTCACATGGCTTAGGCAGCTCTGACAGTGGGCTAACGTAATTTATTAGATTTTCTGCCCCTTTTTCAAGGCCAAACTAGCTTGTGTTTAAGTTTTCTTTGGTCACATTTATATATCTTCACATGTAGCGCTGTCTTGTGTTTAAGTTGTGCATGTTGCTGGTATTGGCTTAGTACAAGTTGTAACTTGCAGAAGGCAGGTGGTGGTGGGAAGGTTGGTAGTGTGTACGGAAATATTGGCAGGCGCCACAGCCTAGGTCCTCTAGTATCTTGCCTGCCCTCCACATCTTCCTCCACCTCAACCATTACCACCTCTACATCTGTCTCCACTACTGCAGGACTGGCATCAGGTGTAAGTGGTCAGGTATAGCTTTAATCTTAAGTTCATTTTTGTCTTTACAAACAATACACATCATTTAAAACACATTTGTGGCTTACAACTTTTCTTCTTACCATAAGTTCTCAAAGTATCGTTTAGGACTAATACTTAATAGATTTTGAATGAACATTTTTATTAAGACATTTTTTTCAGAAAGAAGTTTTCCTTGAATATTTTTTTGAAGAAAAGTAGCTATATTTACAGTACATATGTGTATAGCAGACATCTACTAATTTACTGTGGGCCTTAGACAAGGATGTGATGTCACCTTGGCTCCTGTACTTATTAGGGATGGGACAATACCAAATTTTTTGCTAATACTAATACCCAGTTTTCTGCCAATACTGATACTTTTCCTATATTTTTTATTTTTAAAATGACTACGTTCAATATATAAGGGAATATTTATTACACATTTGGTATTAAATAACACTGTTGTATTCTGAGCACCTCTGCAAAAACAGTGATTATGTGTGAGTGAGGTGAAAGTGTTAATTGATAGTGAAAGTATTTTCTTTTTGGGGATTTTCCTTCTTTTTGGGTCACCCTGCCTCGGTGGGAGACGGCCAACTTGTTAAAAAAGAAAAAAAGAAAGGTTAAATATTAAATAACTTAATTTCTCAGAGATGACTATGTCATTACTCGGCCTGTTGTTCTAGTTACTTGTTGTCAAAGGCACTTATCATTTTTTTCGTATGTGTATGTGTGCATGCACATGTGCATGTATGGGTGTGTACATATGTATTTGTGTGTGCATTCATGTGTGCATGCATGCAAGTGAGTGAGTGTATGGGTAACCTGCACAATCATGAGGTATTGTGTTAATTTTGACATTTTTAAGCACACATACAATATTATTATTTTAAGTATCAGCTGGCAGTAGCCTTTTTTTTTTTTTACTTATATTGATGCCATAAAAATGGCTGATAACCATCAATACCAATACTTTGGTATATCCCTAGGACTTGTAGATGGAGTTGCAAAAGAAGTGAATCCAAGGGTATTGGGGAGAGGTGTGAGTATAAAAGATAATAAATCTCATATGAAGTTGCAAAACAGATACACAAAGGCAGAATGAGCACTTCATTAAGACAGCATTTTGCTTGGAGACAGCTTAAGTTCTTTAGAGAGTACATACATGGAAAATATGGAAACATATTGGCAGAGTGAGGAGTTTACTGAGCTAAAGGGATTTGGCAATTTGAAAACGTGTGATGGCAATCTGTATATGTATGATGGTGTCCACAGTGTCCCTTGGTTATACCATGTTTATGTTTTTCCACTGGATGTTGGAACACAGAGCAAGAACTTTAAGTTAAAGGTGAACATAGAAAAGAGTAAAGTGATGAGAATAAAAAAGCTAGATAATGAAAGACCAGACTTCAGATTGGAGGAAGGGGGTATGGAGGAAATGAATGCATTTAGATATTTAGGAGTGTATCAGCAGGTGAGTGTGTGAAAGATGACCTTGTGTATGGTTGTGCAGCATGGTCTTACTGTCACAGTGAGAGAGTAGCTGGAGGCAGTAGAGAATTTGACCTTAAAATCTGTGTTATGCAAATATTATGCACAGAATCAGGAATAAATAAATTAAAAAACAGTTTTGCGATATGAAAAGTATAATTCAAAGAATGATAGAGGGGATTGTTGAGACTGTTCGGTCATTTAGAGACTTTGGAGCAAGATAGGTTGGCTAACGGCGTACATAAACCTTGCATGAATGGAAGAAAGTCTAGGGTCATTTCACTAAGGGCTAGAAAGAAGGTGTTAAGGAGCTTTTGAGGGGTAAGGGCTTGAGTGTCCAACAGGCATGTATGTAATAGCATTTTAGATCGGAGGGACTAGAGACAAGCGAGTTTTAGGACTTGATGTATTGTGTGTGTGCATGTGTGTGTACGTACGTACTCACCTAGTTGTGGTTGCAGGGGTCGAGTCATAGCTCCTGGCCCCGCCTCTTCACTGGCTGCTACTAGGCTACTCTTCCTGCTCCATGAGCTTTATCATACCTCTTCTTAAAGCTGTGTATGCATCCTGCCTCCACTATATCACTTCCCAGACTATTTCATTTCCTGACAGCTCTGTGACTGAAGAAATACTTCCTAACATCCCTGTAAGTCATCTGAGTCTTCAGCTTCCAACTGTGACCCCTTGTTGCTGTGTCGCATCTCTGGAGCATCCTGTCTCTGTCCACCGTGTCGATTCCTCTCAGTATTTTATATGTCGTTATCATGTCCCCCCTATCTGTCCTGTCCTCTAGTGTCATCAGGTCGATTTCCCTTAACCTCTCCTTGTAGGGCATACTCCTTAGCTCCGGGGCTAGTCTTGTTGCAAACACGCACACACACACATAGCATACACACACACAAACACAAACACACATGAGCGTGCACACACAGGCGCACACACACACACAAG